CCCCCCTCCGGCGGCCAGCACCTGCATGACACTTCAACACCTGCTCGATCTCACTCTCTACCACCCTGCGTGACATTACCTCCGTAAAGACGCGGGTGTTCAGTAAATAATTTTCGAGAGTTTCAACCGACAACGAACCTGGAAATGCACGTCTCGTCCGTTAAGTAGTTCAATGAACTTTTTTCCCGACGTCACTTAACACGTAAGGAAACCACGGCAATCGGACACAACTCGCTCCTAGTCCGCGATCCTGTCTGTATCCTGCACTTTCAGTATATTTCTTCGTCGGGGTCAACGTTACTCTTACCCGCTCCTCGATTGATCCGGAGGCGGAAGGCATTTAAACGACAGCAGAGAGCATGTTCAGAGTTAAAAAAACACACACGCAATTGTGACTTGAAATAAATGTCACTTCCATTCAAGACATTGAAATGTCTCGTTGTTAAGGGCTGTTTTAATTAATCAAAAACATTAGTATACTCACGTTATAAGTTACCACGGAGTCGAGGAGCGCCCGAGCTGAGACGCGTAGAATCTCGTTTCGTACAACACACAAATCGATTAAAAATAAAACAGTTACGGGACAGGAATAACAATTTTCGACACGCACCAGAAAACGTCTAGAACACTACACACGACGCAACGCTACTAACAAGCACTCCGTACAAAACTGCGATCAACATATCCCCAACGAGGCCACTCAGGAAGCAAGCACCCACGGACGTTCTACAACCGCCCCCTCCACAGCTGACAGCTGCCGGCCATGAGGGAGGGGTATGCGCCGGGGACGACAATGGCATCTGTTGAGCGCATTAGTTACTATTTAATCGAGTCCTCTGCCTGATGCAGTTAAATACTTGGCCACCAGAGATAATTGAGGAGGGTAAGGCGTTCTTCCGTGGTGAGGGTATTTTGGTCTATTCTGATTTTGGTATATCTCACTAATCTGTATATTTTAATACTTCGGGATCAGTGGTGTTATATGGATTGGGGGCCCTGCTATAATACTGTCTTCGTGCATTACTAAAAAGTTTGTCGTTATAATTGTTCAGTTCACACATTATATACATTTTGTATTCGTTTTGTTATTTATAATAATTAGAACTCGGAAGTTTGGCAAAACGTCTTTTTATGAAACTTTTAGCAATAGAAATCACTTTACCGTGCCTTTGGAAGAATATTGTTTTAGAGTTTTAATTTACCTATTTTAGCCGCTGATGCATTTTTTTTTAAATTTCGATTTCTTTAATGCTGTCATATATTGGCACAACTTCGTTTTCCGTCATTATTTTCCTTTTCCTCTCACACCGATCGCGGTCAAGTTGGAGATAGACCTGCAAGCTCAGCGCGACCAAGAGCGCTCTAGGTCCATCTGTAGCCCTCCGGCACGAGGGCACCAGGGGCATCCAGAAAAGGGGACAGGTGGGGCAACGTGCCCCAGGCCCCGAACTTTTTTTTCATTCAAAAGAAATGAAAAATTTATTTATCTCTAATCCAAATTTAATGCTTTAAGTTATTTCAGATTCATGGAGAAATTAATTCTGATAATCAATTAAGGGAGGAGGAATTTTTCGTTTGAAGTAAGGGGTTCCCTTGGATCAATTGTCTCAGGCCCCTGGAGGGCACTGTGGTGTTTTGTTTTTCTCTGCAAGCGAAGACACAATGCAGGTTCCAATGGGCAGGCACAGGCAAGATGGGGTTTCAGTGGGAGCAAAATTCAAAAGAAATGAAAAATGTATTTATTTCTAATCCAAATTTAACACCCCGAATTTTTTTTCATTCCAAGTAAATGAAAAATATAGTTATCTGTAATCCAAATTTAACGCCATTAGTTATTTCTGATGCATGGAAAATGAATTCTGTTAATAAATTGGGGAAGGAGGGAATTTTTTGTTTGAAATAAGGAGCTGCCTTGAATAAACAGCCCCAGGCCCCTAGTTTTCTAAGGGAGACCCTGGAGGGCACTGTTGCATTTTGTCTTCCCCTGCAAGCAGAGACATGGTAACAGACAAGCTGGGGTTCCAGTGGGAGGCAATGTTCAAAGCTCGTTTCAAGGAAGTGAAATGATATCAGTCAAGATTGTTAGATATATTTTTCATAGATGCTGACATACTTTGCTCATGGGGAATCTCATCCCACCAGAGTAATAGCTTCAATACCTTTTGAAGAAAGTACCGTACTACAGAGCACTCACACTTTGTCTATGGTACCATACAGCACTTCTCAGTGCTGGCAATTACACATTAATTCAAGGAAATAGTGTTTGGGTAGTATTTTCACTTTATCCCATGTTGTATCTACTTATGGATTCAAAGGATTACTGGTTCATCCATAAAAGCTTTTTGTAGAGACAGCATTGCAAATGAAACACAGTCCTTGTTATTATACTGAAATTTGGTGTGCCATTTAGAATGATTTTCATGAGTTAAACTGAAAAAATATATTTCTGCAACATTTGAATATCGAATTTATAAGTTATAAAGGTTTTAGAGTATTTTCACATGAAGTCTAATTGTTACACATCAATAGTTTCTTTATTTTTTACAAGGTTGCTTTTTAGTCCATGCCCATCCTGTATCCTATGCTGCAAATCCCAGGAGAATTATGCCATCACCCTCCTCATATTTTCCATCCTGCTATTGGCTGGATGGAACCCTTCCTCTCACTAGCTATTGAAGATGGTCTGTAGGTCCATCACTGTCAGGCAATCGCATGCTGCAGAGGCACCATCTTGGCTGGCCATCTCGGCTCCAAATAGCTGCTTTACACATACATTCAATATTATTAATAGGTACAATACTATAAATCACTTGAAAGCCATTCAAATGTATATCCTGCCTAGTATGATATATTGATATATTGTTCATTGATGCAATAATATATTTTGTTTGCAGAAAAAAATTATTGGGCACAAACTTTCAGGCATTGTCTCACTCTCAAGCACAATATTTTCATTTATATTCATTTTTTTACATATATTTGCTCAACAATTGATGCTATTTCTTCATTTTCAGTCTTCAGGCATTTCTTATTTCCATATTTTTATCTTGCCATTGTGGACCCTCCTCTCCTTTGTTACATGGGCTTTTTATATTTAACCATTTCATGCCTGAGTCTTCCTCTCCTCTGGCATTCCAAAAAAAATTATTGGGCACAAACTTTCAGGCATTGTCTCACTCTCAAGCACAATATTTTCTTTTTATTTATATTCATTTTTTTACATATATTTGCTCAACAATTGATGCTATTTCTTCATTTTCAGTCTCCAGGCATTTCTTATTTCCATATTTTTATCTTGCCATTGTGGACCCTCCTCTCCTTTGTTACATGGGCTTTTTATATTTAACCATGTCATGCCTGGGTCTTCCTCTCCTCTGGCATTCCAACTGTATCCTCTGCTACACTCATCATTATCCACGATGCATCCATACCGCATCATGTGCTTCCTCTCTATTTAATTGAATATTGATTTTTCTATTGTCATTTTGTTCCCAACATCATTATTAGTTTTACAACACATCATATTACTTCCTAAACCAACTCTTTCTATTTTTTCATGGCACATTCCCTTTTTATGGGACACTATCTCTAATATATTTAATAACACAATATAGGCCTAACTAATACATATAACATACAGTACATATTTTTCTCCCCCTTTCATTTTCATGTTATTTTCTAAAAGAAGATCTACTACTATATTATTTAACAATCACCAGGTATTTAGATTTGCTCATAATTAGCTTTCTGTCCAGCCCAGCTTGTACATATAATTCATTTAGTTTATGTAAAACAGTGACTACATATCACCTTCGTTATATGAAGTTGTATTGTTTTTAGTTTATTAAAAAAAAAAAACACCTGTAGGTGACACATGTGTGACAGAGGAGATGTCAAGTTAGCCTCAAGCACAATTTCTGAATGTTTTCTCTGCAATCCCTGTGCTCTGTTCACTAGTTGTAGTTGAATTAAAGATAGCAATGACCATTGTTGGAAACATTTTATAAACTAGACTTGTCCTCTCCCACATAATGTTAACTATTTGCAATAGCAAGAGCTGCAGATTTGAATTAATGGTAGTGTTCAACAATATTGAACCTCCTATTCTTTCACATTAAGCAAAATGAAAGTTGATGAAACTGTGAAAAATTTCAGTATTTGTTCTATTTATGAAAATGTGATTAAGATAGGTTATTTCACTGTTTCATTTTTTGCGAACTACATAAAATCCCATTCTTGTAATAATTTTCAAGCCAAAGAGCAAAACACAAAATGCTTACAACTGACAAACAAAGGCCCTACATTGAAACTTCTAAACATGAACTTCACTAGTCACAATGTCTGCAGGGTGATCTCTTTCAAAAGTATTTATACACAAAGGATATGAATTCCAGCACCTGTAACTTTTCTTTTCTCCTTACTTTTATAAAAATGTTGGATTGCATATGTTTCATAAATAAATATATACAGCTACAAATAAATATTTATTTTTAATCAACACCAACTGTTTGATGACAATTCAGGAAAATTAATCAAGTGATATTAAAATATATATTTCTGGAATACACATAGTCCACAAAACAGCCAGTCAATAAATATGATGGCATGCATAAAAAATTAAAATAATTCACATTAGCCAAAAAACATGAAAAATATTATTACAGTCAATATTGACAAACTCAGCAAAATAATTAGCACCTTTAACAACAAATTATATTTCATAACTGTTTGGGATTTATATTCTTTTTAACATGCATTACATATCTATACTGAAAATTAATGATCTGATTCTCATCACCCAGGCACTCTTTCCAGGACTTGCCAATTTACTACTCATCTTGATAAATACATTTTATGTTGGAATTTTGACACTTACTATCTTTATCCAAAGTATCAGCCACACTTTATAGCTACTAAGGAAAAGACCACAACAGTCCACGCAACAGCACCTCCACATTGTGAATAACTCTGAAATATATGTTCTATCTTCCACAAAAAGCAATTATAAAATATATTTATGTAGCATAAAAGTACTTCATTGTAGTTCTATTGCAAAACTTATATGAGCCTAAACATACCTTACTGGCCCTCTACAATACCCACAATGCCCTAAACAGTCTAGAAATGTCTTTACAAACACTGCTGGTTAATATCAAATCTGATGAGCACAAAAGTATATAAAATATTTACCACCACTCTAAGTTAAAAACAGGCTTCCGATTTCAAATAAAATACCTAAACACCAGAACTATAATTTGTTACATAAGAACAACTCCTACACAGAATTATTATGAAGAAGTACAATTACTTTTAATGCAAAAATCAAGGCCACAAAAAATAATAATTTTTATTAAAACTTAGGTAAGCATCTATTCCTAAATGAAGATGGAAGAATTTTTTGCTATCTAATAAACAGGAGTACTGTCACATTGTGATGTAAATAATGCACCTTTGTATTCCTGCTATTTACACACACGATCCTTAGTTTTACAATTGCGCAGACACCAGATAAAAAAAAAAATTATAAACAGATGTAAATTAAAACAATACTGCGTCAGTAGGCAAGCCATCAGAAATCAATCAATATATACCAACATATATCATGAAGCAATGACAGGAGTTCACATAAATAATTAATAAACATTTGAAATTCAACATTCACATTTTTGTTTCTAGGTTTTTCTATTTACAAGATCCAATAAAACACATGACAAAACATTTCCAATATCAACTGAAAATATTATATAATAAGAACAACAAAGTGCCAGTTTGTTAAGATTTTATAACATTTCTAAAACTTGGTATACTGAGTAAAAAAACAAAACAATAGTACAAATAAAATATTTTACACTGGAGAAATACTTAAATTGCCCAAAATATATTTTTACACACATTTACCCTGACTAGCAAAAAACCAAATCCTCCAATTGTAGTGATGTTACATTTGTTATTTGTACAGAATTAGTTCATTCTTGAGTATACCTATTTTTTACACTTTAAACATAATGATCAGAGAGAATGGGGACATCCTGTTTTAGGAAACTTACAATGCATCGCCTGTGAGGCTTATCAGCAATTTTTATTTTGGAAATTCATTTCCTAAATCTAATAGTCTCAGAAATTTTTAATGAATACTTTTCGATCAGAGCAATGACAAAAGAGCAAGTGCATTCTCCCTTTATTGCTGAATAGACATCTCAGCGTATTGTTAAAGCCATCCAGTTTCTATACTCTACAACTGTTAACAGACATGAGATGATTATTAAATGATCAAGTACAGGTAAAGAAATAAAATGTAGTGATACACTATTCTTCAATGTATAATACAAAAATACTTCTACCAGCAAACTTAAAAATTATCTAACTATTTTACTCCTTGTTTCCATGTGAAATCATATGTCGACAGATAAAATATGATGTTCTTGAACATCATATTTCCATAAACATACATAAATATTTCTCTAGTACCTGTCAATGACACAGGACTTATGAGCAATGTGTTATGCTTGACATCAACTTAGAGAAGCATGACCCTTTTGTCACCAAGACAAATACATCTAAGATGTATGAGACAATTGTGTAACTTCCAAGGACTTTATTTCAAATTGCATGTAGTTATCTTTTTGATTATTGTATATTCTTGTCCTAATTCATAGACATAAGCTCTTATGAACAATTGCTATTGGCATGCATATCAAGTAAATTTGTGTATAACACTGTTGTCTAACACTTTATTCTAAATCCTAAAGTCATTCATTATGCTTAGTATCACGTACCAGCATTTCAGTATGCTATGTCATCATGCATTGTAAGTGGGAGATAATAAGTAAAGAAATACTGATATTCATGCTTCATGTACATGTAATGGAGTAATAATCTACAGCTTGCAATGTGATTTAAATTATTCTATGTACAAATAAATACACCATTCCTTATTATTATTATTATTAATAATTTCTACCTCTAGAGTAAAGTGAAAGACGAATTCAGTAACGAGTCATGTCTCAGACATGTTTGCTTTTTTATCGAAAGAATTTTTGTAAGTCTGACTTGGCATGGAATCAACTGTTATTTCCAATTTTCTCCTGCATTTATTGTAAAAATCTTCATAAAGTATCTCAGATTACCAATGTTTGCAAGCTGGAAAAAATATAATTTTTAGTTACACTATACTAATCAATATCACATCTTTGGCTGACAATCGAAAATAGATTGAAACTTTGCTTGACCTCAGAATGCTACTACCTGGTAGCAACAAGAGGCCACAACAAATCTTGCAGATCAATTTTAGATGACCCGCTTACAGTGATCAAAAATACTTGTCCTCTTTAAGATATCTGTTAAGTCTATTTCTTTATACACTTCACCTAACATTAAGTCTTATACTTTATGACAATATAAACATAAAAATTGTTAACAATAACAACCTGCTATTCACAAAGTCTACAAATTAAGTACATTTCTGTACTGGAATATTAAAATTAAGAAATAACTTTCAATACTTGGCATTAAACCTTAATAAAATGGACTATACTATACTATAATCATGCATTTAAATAATTCTAAAAAATTTAAGTGAATTGTACTTTATAACTCTTAATGTAAATTTTGTAAGAATTAAGTAAGATGTGTAATAATTATACCATTCTTTAAATCCTCCAGGCTTGATACTGGAAATTTCTCAGTAAAAAGTCTTTTGGAAGGTACAATCTACCTGAGGACTTCCTCACCCCCAACAGAGAACAAGAGGTATTTTAAAGCTCTGCCCTTACATTTCCTCAAATGCTAGCACTTTGTGTTGCTAGCAGGCTTTGGGAGAAGAATGGTCCGTTCCTCACTATCATCTATACTTTGCTTTGGACTCGTACTTTTATACTTTTCACTCATTTTATCTCCGTCCTTGCCGTCCATGAGCAGGTTTGTGCCTTCCCCAATCACTTTGGTGGGACTCAGGTGAGCACTGAGTTTCCGACTGCCATTAAGCTCTCTGCCAATAAGGCCTCCTATGCTGGCTCCTCCAGGGCTGCCAGCACTGTGGGCAGGTGGAGGTGGACTCAAACCAGAACTTTTACTGCCAGATAACATTGTGATGTCGTTGCCCACCAAACTAGCGCTGCGCTCAGCACAGGCTGCCACCTGGTGTTGCAAAAAATCTTTGTCCATCTGTAACAATTTTATTATACATACTTAAGAATACTAATACATAATTTCATTTTTATATAATGATGGATAATCACAGAAAATAAAAATACAGAATTATTTAAATGTAAGGTTCAAGAAACTTGATGTACATTGTTCAGTACATCAATTTCACTGAAATTTACTGCATTCACTCAAGTGCAATAATCTTTTATCATTTTCATTTATTTTCAAATTTTTTTTCTTTGTTTGCATCTAGGAAACATAAGATAATATTTGAGCAGTAAGAAATATTTGTATGTTTTTTAAAAATATTTTCTGATGAAGTTTTTTTATTCTTATAGCATTTTGTATTTTAGTTTCATTGCTTATCATGAAATTTGTTGGTTAATGAATTTCAAATTCAATGCTTCATTTTTGCCTCTGAATCTCCAATTAAGTTTTATCAATCCTTTCAAACTAATTTTGAATATTTTTTTAATGCCATTCAAATTTGTTTGTAAATGAACAGAAGGTCATTTTGACATCAGAACCATTAAATTTAAATAGTGTTAAAAGTTAAATTTAAATATATCATATTACATTCATCAAAACCGAACAAATTTATATTTTCATGTGGGAATGATGCAGCTTTTGATCTTAATGAATGTCACTTTCAAATAATGAATATGTGTACTTGCGTTTTATCATGTTTCTGACAATGGAATAAAAAAATGAAAGGTTTTAGTGGCATGAAACAATGAAGCTTTGCAATGAAGCTTTGCATTGAAGCTTTGCATTGAAGCTTTGTATAGAAGCTTTGCATGAAGCAATGAACTTTTAAAACAATGAAGCTTTGAGTTCAAAATGGCTGGAAAAAAAACACCCTCTTTGATACCACTTCTCCCCAAAGTGGAAATGACATATTTTTGAATGAATTTCAAAGTTGAAATTTATACTCCATTTCGATATCAAAACTAACATGAGCAAATTTCAAAATTTTATCTGACTCGCCAATAAAAACATTACAGTTGAATTTTTTCTGAGATGGCTGAACAACTAATGCAGGACCACTTAAAATGAATTAATCCACTAATTAAAATTTCACATAAAGTATGAACACAAGTTCAGAGTTTTAATTAACTCATTTTTCTGATATTTCTTTGAAATTCTAAACCCTTGAGACCTTGCTTTGTACAGAAAAATGAAAATGGTTGTGGCAAATGACTGTAGTCATTCACTGCAAAATTTACTGAACAGTGAACTCTTGTGTGACTTTGTATTAAAAGTGTGTACTTGGGCACTCTTTTAAAACAAAGTTACACAAGATGACTTGGTTTGGAAAGAGTTAATATGCATTTTTCATGAGGGTCAACTGTTATGTAAATAATTTTTGTCACCTGAGTAATTACTAGATGGGATTTAATATAAAAGAATCTGGAACAAAATATACTGACTTTTCCATGGTTAATACAAATTACAAAATTACCACTTTATATTGAACAAACTTACACATTATTGTGCAAAGATGATTGAAAACAACACTTGGAAATAAGCAGTTGATGGTCAGTGAACTCATATAATGAAAACAACAGATGATTGAAAATATATAAAGTAGGTAAACTGAACCCTTGAAATTGGAAAAAGATGCCTTTTTAACTTGTATTTTAAACTTCTTCATTCCAAAGGGCATAATTTTACCTGAATATGATGACTTGGTGGAGAATCCATAGGTCCTTGACTTCTATCATCTTCATCCAATGAATGTAGTAGCTGCAAAATACAAATGTACGTTAATACATGAAATAAAACAAATCACTATGAAAAAAGAGAAGAATTTTAAGTTTTAAAGCAGATGGGACGGGCTTTTCCTCCAAAATATTACAGTGGGCAATGAAATATTTGTTTGAATTGAAAAAATATAATATTAATTTTAAAAAGACCTCAAAGAAAGAAAAGGAATGTACTCAAATAACACACATTGTCTGGGCAAGAACTTACTTTTTGACAATTGCAAATTTCAAGTATCTGTACGCAAGCCAAGAAATTATTAGAATAAATTGAATATTTTTGAACTGAATTCTATGAGATTAAAAAATAAAATCATACTGTTTAAGATATGTTTACTTTAAATTGAAGGTTTGTAATCTTGCATTACAATATGTGCGAAGATAATAAAGAGAAGAGAAACGTTATTTTCTTATAAATAAAAATAAAAATGTAGTGTTCATATCTGCTACAAAGAAATAAAAATTCTTCTAATTAATGCTTCCTCAGATAAATTAATACCTTAAATATTTTAAAAATAAATGTGGACATTAAAGGATATAAATATTTTATTTGAGGTAATTAACAACTAGAGGAAAATAGTGTACTCTCTGATTTAATTAGAGTGACTTCTGTTGTTTGATCAGCTAGGATTCAATTGGGAGCTTTGTTATGACTTAATTTTTGGTATTGAATCTCCTGATTGGAGAACCATGTCCCAGTTGATCAAACGTCAGAAGTCACTCTACATAAATTGGGGAATAAGACTGAATATTCCTACCATTTTATAAATTATTTTTCTCTCTTTTCTTCTATTGTTGCTGTTTATGTTGTTTTTATTTTTTATTTTTTTCCCTTCAAATGATCTAAATAACTAAGTTTTGTTAATTGTAAATACTTACCTTCTCAACTTCATCATCAAAATCTGTTTGAGTGTCCTTCTTTGCCATTTCCATTAATGTTGCTCGCTTAGCAGCAAGGTATAGAGATCGCTTAATTTTTATGTAAAAGACTTCTGTTATTGCTCTAACGGAATAATCTGGTACAAAAGTGTAACGAAGAATTGAATCAAGATTGACTGACTGCAGACTTCCCAGGTTTTGAGGGGCTGGAGATGTAGGAGAATCAGCTGAAAACAAAACCAAAGATCAATACTGGTGAAAACACTACTGTGGTTAATAGCATTGATGACATTACAAAACCTCTGTCTCATTTCCATAAAAAAACACATTTAGATGTGTTAATTGTCACTAAACAGCTACCATCCATGAGTTAAAAACATACAAGGCTATTCTCACAAATAATGGCACAAACAGTATATTTTAAACTACTCAAGAGAACTAGAAGGAATGTTAGAAACGAATATATTATAATGATATAACATTTATATTCTCCTGCAAAATTATTCAAAAATGGATCACTGTTAAAATTTTATAACTTATGTTATTTACTATTTCTTTTTTCTTTCTTAAAAATAATTTAAACTTAATATTCTTATATTTTCATACATTAGTCTGAAGACAGTTGGAAATTAGTGGTTGCTTTACAAGTTAAAAACTAAACAATTGTCAGGATTCTCAATTTTCTATTTTTATTGTTTCTAAACATTCATCAATTTTTTAATAGAAATTTTATGATTTTTCACTTCTCTAGTCTTCATATGCATCCTATTGTGTGTATTTGTATATTTTACTTCAATAGTCATCCAAAATTGTAGACCTCTCTGACGTATTTCATTCACTTTCGTACCACTCATCATGTATTTCTCTTTGAGAAATTACTTGTTGGAAATATCAACAAACAAACAAAAAAGAAAGACAAAAAGAAAGATGTACTAAAACAATAAGATCACAAGTAAGATTTTCAAACATCACTGACAAATAACTTACCAACACCAATATTTTGTGTCAAAGCTTGAGAACCAAAGTATGTAAAAGGTCCACTCTCGAACATCATGTTTTCTCGGCCCACTGTGACTTCAACTCTTCCTTCCAATATCAAGACAAAATAATCAACCGCTTTACCCTGGTGAGTGAAACAGATGAAAACATTCAACAATTATTCAAAAAACTATTGCACAACACTAAAAGCAAACTTTTCCTCGGTATTAACCAATCATTTTCATTCCATTAAGCCACTGTAACTATCAGTTTGCATATAACATAAAACTTCTTATTTAAATTTTATCGTTTTAAAAAGTAGTATAAATCAATTATTCCAATATTTGTCAGGAAATGTACAAAATCCCTTCATTTCAGTTGGTATTTTACAAACATAATTATCATATGCACCACACTATTAAGCAATTCTATTTTCATTGCCATTCATAAGAGCAGAATCTAGTAGTTTTGTTTGTGACAAGTATGCTTTAATGGGTCCAACGCAATGTCAAGGCTTGCTCAAGAAACAATTAATAACAATATGATTAATAACGAATGATGAAAAAAGACACTACAGCAAACTACATAAAATATATGCTAAAACAATATTTTTATGAGAGAGTAAAAAAAATTGTATATGCAACATTAATTACTTGACAATAACAACAACAATAATAATAATTATTATTATTATTGCCAATTTAATGGCAAATTTATGTTAATTTGAGTATTAATAAAACATTTTCAATGATTACACAATGGGATTAATTTAAAACTTACTTAAATTAATTTAATTGTTTATATTAATCAATTTTATACATTTAAACATAAAATGTATCACAATGTAAACTTATTAAATTCTTATTGCAAGTGAATGTTGTTAAATAAAGTAACTCACTCATTGGAATTTTAAATCATTTCTAGACACTTTGCTTGATACTTTCTGTAAGACTGTAAGCAATAAAATATTTTTATTATTTATATTATTATTATTATTAAAATTATTAACTACCAAACAAACAATTTAACATATATGCGGAAGAGATGCTCTATTAGCACAAAATTATTTAAAGTTGTGATTTTATCACATTAGCACTGATTAGAAACAAAAATGTATACAAGCAAAGTGCTGTTCCAGAGCAAAAGAGCAAAGAAGGAAAATGTTTTGCTTATTGCTGAACTGGTCCTGTTGTCTATGGAAGATCTGTTTCAGAATCTCAAATAAATAATGTACCCTCAATGCAGAATATGAAGGTATTAGAAGACGTACAAAACTCTCAACTTCATTTTGCTGCTAGATTGAGGCACCACACACTAGTATTGAAAACCGAAGATGATGCTCAACCACAGTAGCAGTGAGATCTTGCGGTTTTTAAATTTTTACATTACAATGCCACAAATTGAGCGAGTCTTACATTCCTATCCTTGCCAGAAAGAGGAACAAACATAAAAAGCCACAAAGAAATGCAATTATGCTGAGTCAAGAGTCAAAAATAAGTTTGTTAGAAAAAATTTCAGAACACACAATAATTGCAAAACTTCCAATCACATTTCTCCAACATTTGCAATATCTAATATTGAGCACTAAAAACAGAAGTATCACCAAATGAAGTGTCAGATATAATTGAAAAATGTATATCCAATTTAGATATTCTCATCCTCAAAGATTAAATGCTAAAATAGAAAAAGAATGCTAAGTGAATGGAATGGATCATAAGCAGGAAAGAATTCCTTTCATGGTACATAAGTAGTCCATTAAAGAATCTTATTTGTGGAAAGAGAAATAATGAAAGTGAACTCAGATGTTCTTGCAGTCACAAGAGGCCAGAGGAACTATATTGCCACAAAAATCTTTCATAATTAACTATATATCATAAACTGCAAAAAGGTCATTGCAGCCCATCTGTAAGGGACATGATTCTCTGAGCTCAGATTAACCCTGGAAGGATAGAAAAAGCAAGATATGATGTAGGGAAACTTTGCGATACTAATTCCAAAAGGAATCTGAAATAAACTAAAAAATTGTTATGGAATTCTAAAACCAAATGAAGAGAGACTCATTCAATTTAAAGAAACACTGAATAATTTAAAAGAAATGCTCAACATAGTAGTAATTTTAAAAGAAGAAGATTTTATACGTTTATTTGCATTAACAAAAGTACATGACATTGTTGTGGTATCAGTAACATGGAATAAAATAAAAGATTGAAGGTGATTTAAAAAATACTACCCACTACAAGTCTAGAAGTAGAGTGAAAAGAAAGAATGTGGAGAACCATGAAATAATTTTTACAGTGTTAAACATCTTTGTAGATGTGGATGAGATATGACTAGAAAGCTTCTCATCCTGAAGCTCAGATTTCCAAAATATTTTTTTCTAATAATAATTTCAACAGCAACAATGAAATAAACTTTTTACAGATAATAAGCAAGTTAGATGTTTATTTGGATGCAGAGTCCACGAACAAGCATAGGCAAAATGCTTCACTAAATAATTATTTCTTTTATTTGGCCTCAATACCCTTGTTAATATTGATAAAGAAACATTGAATTAAATTGCTTACCTGGGAGTAGATTATACACTGAGGATCATTCCGAGCCTTCTCTTTGTTTTTCACTTTTATGTGATAAATTACATCTTGTTTCAATAATCTACGAAGGATTGTTTCTGATATATTATCAGGCTTAAAGGCATTGACAGCTGGAAAAAATATGGTATCAAAATTTTTTTATTACATGTACCAGTAATGATGGAACACTTTCCTTGTCAATTTATCCTAAATTGTCACTGAAATACTTAAATGACTCAACCTGTTTTAATAATAATCATAAGACAATTACAAACAAAAAATATGCAGGTTGCGAAATACTTTCAGAATTTTATGATACTATAAAATAGAATAAAATTATTATTTCTGAACTTAAACACAAACAAATTTTCAACATGAACACATAGGACAAGTTTATTTGTATTTCATATAAAATCTGAATGATCAAATTATATCACAAGACAAGAATTTATGTTAACTCTATATAAGAGTCACAGGTAAAATAAAATAAACGACTGCCTAGCCCCAAATGGGTAACATATAGGGTTACATATACAGGATGTATCTGTGGAGTCTGTACACACCATCTGTGGAATTCCTAGATAAAAGCAGTGAAAAATGTTCCATGACATTGGATATAAAAGTTATTTTCTTCAAGCGAAAAAAAGAAGAAAAATATCAAAAAAAGTAAATCTGAATTTTTACAATCAGTGGCAACTGGCAGTAATTTAGAAGTGAAAGCCTCTTGCAGTAATTAAACATTCAAGGTGCAAAAATATACACTTATTTAAGTGACATTTTTGCTGAAACAAGAACTTTCAGATCCAATGCAAAAGACAATATTTTCAGAGTTTTGATTACCAAGAACTCATCCAAAAAGTGCACACAGACACCACAGTTACACCGAGTATAAGTTACATATTCATTACTCTATACCCACCGGTACTTAGGTACTGGAATGTGGCAAGAGTAAGCTGAGGAGAAATGTGAATCCGCTGGTTCTCTCGGCGCTCAGCAAAAACTGTAAAATCCTGCCTGTTCGTTTTCTCATTTCTACGGCGTTTGGAGCGATTGTCAGCTGTAAGAAAAAATTCTAATGAGAAAATATTCAGAACTTGTCTTTCATCTGCTGCATCAATCTTCTTTCACATATTTCAATATTTCAATACAAAAGAGAAAATTCACTTTAAGGATGTTTTATATGGAAATATTGAAGTACACTGTTATCACCAAACAAAAAATTCCAATATTGATTAAACTGATCAACAATTCAATGAGATATAAAGTTTGAACAGTGAAATGTAAGCAATTCTTGTGATGTAACAGTGATGTGAATTAAAGAATATTCATAGCCATCATAATACATAAAAATTAAAGTATGCGAATGTAGATACACGTACGGTTAAATATTGATCACATTTAATGTGAGAGATAAATATGTCCAATTTCTGCAAAATAATTAATAATTTGGGAGTTGGAGGGTTAACATGAATACAGAATATGTGGAGATGCATATATGATTACTACTAATTTATTTCTGAAATGGCTTTTGGTTTAAGTTTTTCAAAATTAATAAAAATATCAACAAAAACTATTCCATGTGTACATTCTAAAAGCAGAAAACTCCAATTCAAACCCAAAGAAAGCTAATACTCACTTCTGAAAGAAATAAAACATGCTTTTAATGTAATGTTAAAAAATTATCACAGAGGATGCAGACTGCGCAGGATGATTTTATAAAAAAGTACAAATAATACAGAGAGAAGAAAGCAGACAAAGAATATTATTAAAGTTTGTTAATCAGAAAAGAGACTAAATTAAAGTTGCTTCATGCCACAAAAGATAATATGAAAAAATCACAATCGCCATCAAATAGCAAGTCATACAATTGTTTAATTTGCCACTATCAGTGTCACATTAATGTACCACATTTCTCTTTGAAAAGGGCTTGGGGCTCTCCATGTAGTAAAAATAATTGTTAGTTCATTATGCCAGGTAATAAAGTGATTGGACCTAATTGCATATCACTCAACAAATACAACTTGTAATGGAATTCTGAAGAATGGATCCATAAATTAAAGAAACAAGAAATCAAGTTTCACTACTACACAATATATTGTTCAAAAGGTTTGTAATAACTAATGACAAGTGTAAAAAGCAAATATTTGTGAAAATTTGAAATTATTTTATTGGAATTGTTTATATTTATCAATTTTAAAAATAAAATATGCTATTGTGTTGTTTTCTTATAGCTCTCTCACACAAAGGAGTCACTTTCAAAACTTCAGATTTTTTTAATTCTTTTTTCTAGAATAGTAACAATGTTGCTGTTAGACAAGGAGAGTCTTCTGGGACAACCAACATGCAATAAAGACAAAAATAGCTCCAAATAACTGTCTGTATATCTGTACTGCAATATAAGGTTGTGATTCTGTGTACATTATCAACCATTTAGATGTTCTTACACTACATGGGACCTATTGTCACTTTATTTTTAAAATAGTACTAAATTGAGAAGAATAAATAGGAAATCTGGAAGCATTCTTGCATAAATTCATATTTTTTTCATATAACTATACACATGTAGCTAAAAGCACATTAATCAATTACAACCTTAAAATACAAATGGTTTTCTTTTATTATCAAACTCTTTTTAGAAATTGCACAGGTCTCTTTCTTTAAACCTATAAGACATTCTTTGCCTAGCAACAAAATACAAATATATTTGAGTAAATGCATCAAGGCATTATAAAAAGCATCAACAGAATGATAACACTAGCTGAAAAGGTGTTTTGAAATGACTACCATAAACTGCAGTCTTGGAACAAAAATGTAAGATCATAAGCAAGTTTCTGATATAATTGAATTTTTGAATATGCATATGAGGCTTTATCACATTCTTAGCCCATGCAATGTATATAGAATTTAGGCAGAATAAAATTTAATCAGACACAAGCATCAGAAGAAAAAACAATAAAACAACACAGATGAATAAAAATAATATTAGAAAAACATTAAGAGTAAATGGATCATTCTCATGTGAAAGAATAAAACATTAAACTAATTTTATCAGTGATGAAACATACTTCAATGCACAGTGCAAAGTTTTGGAGTGAATACATTACCACGCAAGAAAAATAACACCTTTTAAGATTTATTTAAAAAAAAAAAAAAATATTATTATTATTCTGGGTTTTGCAACAATACATGATATGAAAGTGATGAAATATTCATGAAGTATTAGTTTATATGATTATTCTAAGTTTTGTTATAAAAACATTCCTTTTAAAAACTGACAGAAGTTTGTTATTCACTCAATATTGTAGCAACTTTCATTACAAATCAAGCTTGCAATATTTGTTTATGATGTAAGAATTCTTTAACCCTCTAATGCAGAGAGAGTCGAGAAGATAAATGGGATCTCTTTATCCAAAGTTAAACAATTAAAAAAATCAAAACAACACAATTTTTTTACGAAATCTCTTAGATCAAATTAATACATAACATTTTAATTTATAATCAATCGGACTAGTATGTTTTTTATATGCATTTAAAAAAATGAAAACACTAAATTAATATTGTGTTTATTTCCCAATTTATAATTTTTTGGGATCTGGCAAATGTAGTATTCATAATCAAACCAAATCTTTTAATAGACAGTTTCATATTTTTATATTATTCCTTGACCAGCCAGGTCATGAGAGAAATACAGGGCTATCCCAGGCAAAATTAGATGTATGGTCACGTTTGACCTCCACGAAGTCTTGATTTTTGCAAATAAAAGTAAGTGATAAAGTGAATAGGTCTGATGTGCTGATTCTCAGTGCCTAGTTATAAACATTCATGTTTTCTCTAGTGACACAATTTATTATAGATAAATACACTGGATTTTGTTTATAGTGCAAACAATTAAAACAACAGACCACCTATTGCAACAAAAATCTTGGTTTCCTTGATTTTCTAAAAATTTTATTGAATATGTATTTTATTACATAAGAAACATTACATAGATCATTATGTGTGAATTTGCGACCCCTGTGAGAAAAATTTTAACATGTATTTCTAGAAGCTATAAAATGGCTTAATAAAATTTGGTTTTTACATTGAAAAACAATTGGTCACAACCTCTTCTCTTTAGAATAAAAGTTTTTATTTGGTTTCTATTATGTTTAATGTGTCTAAGAGAAGGAATATCACCTTGGTTGAGAAATTATGAATCTGTTGCCATTTTGATGAACAGAGCAATGTGCAGACAGCAAAGAGATTTACAATAAGTTATTTCACAATAGCTCTCTGGAAATATAAGAATTTCATTAAATTGGCAGTAGAAAGGATCTATGTTTCTACTTCTTTTGTTTTGGTTTTGGTTTATTTAATAATTATACCATCTTTCCGATCGTTGGATATGGAAGGAGAAAATAATATTTGTAATGATCGCTTAGTGACCATTTTCCCATTTCTCCTTGATGGTCATGCATGATAAGTGGAATTCAGAGTATTTCTATTCAATAAGATTTTAAATTTTCAAAATGTACATTCTGATTTCACCACTTTCTTCTCATTATCTTTGGGATTGGTCCACCAAAACTGCTCAAACCCAGAATTCTCAAAAATTGAAATAGTTGTTTATTATGTATGATCTTCATAATTTTTATTTTACACATTTAGAAGCTAGTACGAATTATGCTGAAGTGCAAGTGCACGAGTAACTATTTACATTATGAAAGATCCATTAGTCTGGATAGATCCTCTTTTGTTTAGGCTTCTTTTATGCCAACCTAAATCAGTGTGAACAAAAAGCCATGCTTAATAAATGGATATACACCAAGTGACAATGTGTACTGTTGTATTGTCCCTTTCCGACAAATTTCAAGTTTCAGTTTCCATTTATGTTTCTCAGATTTACCTAACATCATATTTCTCTAAAAAGAGCCCTAATGTTATGTTAACATGCAAGAAGTTTTTAAAATCAATGGCAAATATCAGAAACCAGATTTCATTATTAGGAATACTTTATTTTTCCCTACAATAATCTTTTAATTTTGTTCAGAAAAGTTCAGTTAAACATAAAGAAATTATTTTGGGAAAATGAGTTCTTAATTCCTAATTATAATCACCTTGTTTACACACATCTTGAATGATAACCTGCTTGTTCTGTTTCTGTATAATTTAATATTGTTTCTCCATTATCAGTTTTGATAAAACATTGCAGCTAGGAGTTAAACACTTTTGACAATTTTAGGAAATAAGATCAATAGAAAAATAATAATTATGGGCGACTTGCTTAAAATGATCTCTATTGAAATGCAAAGGCCAAAATACAATGAAACATTGAAATTCCTCATTCATGTCTTCACATTTTAAATTTAATGACAAAATATCTAATGTGTTAAATATGCAACAGTATTACCATTGGAATTTGAATGATGTTCCCTAATTGTGTGAATTTTTATCTGCAGAGTTGTTTAAAGTTTGTAAGGATATAAATAGTACAATGGTCTCATTTTTATGATTTAAGATTAGGAACTGTGATTGCACTGCTGTCTTCCTGTTTGTCTGTTTTGTTGTTGTTTTTTGCTTTTTTTGTTGGCCTGTTTTTCCGAACATTCATGACAAATTATTCTAAAGAATGAAAAGTTCTAAAACATGTGCAATGCAGTATTTCTCATTTTTTTCCATTTGTCTACCTTGTTAAATGAATATTTTGAACAACTAGGTACTTAACAATTCTATGCATGCTACATCAATAGAGTTGTCATAAGGAATTTTGCTTAAGTCTTCCTCTGGTACGCAAATCATGATATTAACTTCAAATTTCATATTCTCATTATTTCAATATTCTGTGCACTCAAATTTTTGTTTTCACTCTCATAATGAACATTCAAAACATTTTTCACAAAAAAGTGGAACAGAAAAAATTCTGTTCATTATTTTTGTTTCATGTCAGAGATACAAGATGGTAGGTGATAATACACAGTTTTATTGATACCACTGCATGCACAAATTTCACAGTATCCTATTAACATTTTTTTTCAATTTTAATATTTCTATATCACTGTATTCATAATTCAGAATTATGATTGATTTGCAATACTTTATGTTACTTCACTAAACAATTTTTCATTTAAATAATAATTATTTCCAAGTTGATATTAGAATTTTCATTTAATATAATTAGAAATGCATAAATGGGCAGCATTGATTTTAACTGCTTAAACATTATTCAAACAGATCTAGTTCATCATAGATTTGGAAAGTTACAGCACAAAGGTGCCGATGAATCAGGTAAATATAAATGATACAAGCACACAGAATCTGATGAAAGTTATGGATAAATATACTATTACCTAACATTACCTTTGCAGAAACAGGATGGCAACAATTCTGACAATAAAAGCATACCTGCAATTTCATGCAAAAATTCACACTAATGGAAATACCATACTAGAACAACCAGAATAATACATTTAAGAAAATATGACGCTGTCAACAGCAAATGCACCTGGTACTGTTGGAAATAAAATAGCACTACTGAGCTATGAGGATTTGTAGATGTAATAAAAAATTAAGAACAAAGATTTCTTTTGTTTTTCTGCCAACAAAGTATGGTTATAACTTTGATGGTGGGGAATAGATGTAAATAAAGAATTATAAAACACATCTACATTTTGGTTTCATAGTAAATGATGTGTCAAAAATACAGTACTTCCTGAAATTTGTGGAAGGACTAAACACACACACATATTAGATGATGTTCACAAAAAAATCCAGGGTGATTGGAAAGTAACATAGTAAAAAGCTGATGTACATGCAACAAAAAACTAAATAAAAGGAAAGGTTGAAAGAAAGCAAATACAGCCTCTGCTATAAATAAGTAATCAGTTTGTGATTCATGCTCAAAGAAGTAATTTTGTTATTACATTTGTATTGCTTGCAAATATAATCCTCTCAGTGATTATTTTTGTTAACTTTTAAGGTATTATGAGTAAGACTGAAAGAAGAAAAAAATACTACTCTAATTTGTATTGAGTTCATATATTATTTTCCCAACTTTCTATTATTACAATTTATTATCCCCAGCAATTGTTTGTAATAAGATTAATGGTAAGATACATTTGGTTTCATTAGGTATTGTGAAATCTTTACATGCTTTAGGAAGTAAAAAGGATTTGAGTGATAAACAAAGGAGCAAAGAAATCATGATCTTTCCTTTGGAATATTAATTACACAATTTGAAATGGAAATTAAAAATAATTATTGAAAAACATATCATGGTCATACCAGAAAAAAGTATTAAGACTAAAATCATGGAACTACAGACAACAACAATCTTGTCTGCAAATCAACAGTTCTCATTGTTAGGTCTCAGAATTTTGGATTTAATACCTTTTCCTTGTAAGCCCGTGATATACTTTACACTTTTCACATAAACAAAATCCCTACCTCTTCTACCTCTGACTGAGATAATGAACACAGAGAGTGATATAGTTGCTTCTTCCTAAAGTTTGATGTAAATGATAAAAGCTGAATTTGCAAAAGATTAGGAGAATATATAAAGCATAGTTACAGGGTGCAAAGCACTGACAGATTCTGCATACCTTGGAAGACATAAGCAGCTGATAAAAATATACCAAAAAGAACTACAATTCAGTAGGTGAGATTTATTGAACCATAATATGACAATCCACATTACCAGTATTCTCTCTTGGTTGTGGTAATGAAATGAGATTAATCTTGGTGATAGAATTTATTGACAAAATGGATGTATGAACACTACCCATGGCAACCCCTTATCCTTGGCAATAAGCAGAATAAGAGCACCTCAATATAATCCATAATATCACACAACACAGGATAATTGAAAGAGAAAGAGAGAGAGAGAAATAGAGAAAAAGAGAGAGAGAGAGAAAAAGAGAGAGAGAAAGAGAGAGAGAGAGAGAAAAAGAGAGAGAGAGAGAAAAAGAGAGAGAGAGAGAGAGAAAAAGAGAGAGAGAAAGAGAGAGAGAAAGAGAGAGAGAAAGAGAGAGAAAGAAAGAAAGAGAAGGAGAGAGAGAGAGAAAGAGAGAGAGAGAAAGAGAGAAAGAGAGAAAAGAAAGAAAGAGATAAAAGGAAGAAAGAGAAAAGAAAGAAAGAGAGAAAAGAAAGAATAATGAGAAAAAAGGGAAGAAAGAAAAAAAATAAAAAGAAAGAAAGAAATGTGAAAAGAAGAAAAGAAAAAAGAAGGAAGGAAAAGAAACAAAGAAAGAAAGAAAAATGAAAAGAAAGGGAAAGATAAATTGCAAATTTAAAGAGTTCCCAAACTTTTGAAACACTCATTTTTGCATCAATTGGCTAAATTCTCTATTATGAACAATTTTGAACCTTTTGAAGATGTTGTTTACCAAAAATCAGAATAGTTTTTCATTAATGGGAATATCAAGTTCCCTCTATCAAAATCTGTCAAGTTAAACAATGTCTCAATAAGGAATCACTTGATTTGAAAGACAATTTGAGAGAATAACATTTTCGATTGAAGGTGTCTTGTTTTACAGAACAGACTGGATTTTAATACATTTAAACATTTTTTGTGCTCCACCATATGGCGCATGTTCCCTATATTGTAATCCAGATTTCTCCATTCACTCGAAAACCAAAGGGGAATCATTCCAGCTCAGAAATATTTCCTGCCCAAAGCTTCAAGAACTTGAAGAATATTGCATTCACTAATGCATTCAAACAATATCAAAGGAAGTACAGTACCTTTTCCTGAGAAGGAAATCCAGATTGAGAGAATACAACACAGATAGACACTAACATGTGAAAAACCATGAACAAGAAAATGAATACACATAGAACATTAAGAACATATACAACGAAAGCATATACGTAACTACACAGGTCAACAATACACAGTGGGGAAATTGTGGAAGAACTTGGAAGAGCGGTTCAACTGAAAAATTACACAGAAAGCGGTCATCAACAACTTACTCCAAACATCAGTCTCATCAACGATTTCTGACTGAATCAGCTCTTCAATGACGTCCTCCAGCGTGACGATGCCCACTGTCTCATAAAATGGGTCGCCCTCTCCCTCTGAGTTGACGCGCTGCACTATCGCCATGTGGCCTTTGATGCCTGAGGGCAGAAAGCAAGGATTTTAAATGAAACAGAACCAGAGGCAGACATACAAGGTTCTCAGGTGCTCGTAACAGCCAACAATTGACAAAATGAAATTATTGTAATTTTGTACATAATACAATCAGTTTTTGGCAGGTGTCAGATCCAGAAAGTATTTCGGAAAGAGGAGAGGGGTATCAAAATGTCTATACAACTCCTCTCTCTCTCATCCCCCCCCCCCCCCCCNCCCCAAAAAGGGCTACAATGAATATGAAAAAACTTCTATTACATCCTGAAGATGGTGAACAACTTTTCAGTTCATGATCATGCGATTTTAGATTTATTTCATAATTTTTGAAAACTCTTTGTCTCTCTAAAAAACGTCTGTGGTCAAAACCCTTTTGATATGAATAACTTTTTGTACAAACATAAATGAAAATTCACATATTGCTTATATAATTAAACATATATTACGTACTCTTACACAAATATATTGAATGACTTCCTTGGAATATTTTATCAATATTTTCCGCGGTGTGAGACTCACGTGCAAACCAACTGATTATTTTGTTAGCAGGTAAACTGCGCCATGATTGGAGTCTATTTTTTGGTGATTGATTAGTGATTCCGGGGCCGTCAACTGCTAAGAAGTCACTAGTCCCGTAAATATAGTGCTAGTTTTTTTAATCGTAGGCGGTGGCGGTGGCCTTTCCCCAGCTGGAAGGTGAAATCCGGCGCCGACCTGCACGCCGGCTGGCGGGGGCACGAGGCATCTCTCACCAACGGGCATTGCCCCGGCCGGGATGCTTTCCAAGCTTCCGACATCTGCAGTAGGGTAGCAGTGTAGCGTAGCAGTGTAGTGTAGTAGTAGTAGTAGTGTAATAGTAGTAGTAGTGTAATAGTAGTAGTAGTGTAATAGTAGTAGTAGTGTAATAGTAGTAGTAGTGTAGTAGTAGTAGTAGTGTAGTAGTAGTAGTAGTAGTGTAGTAGTAGTAGTAGTAGTGTAGTAGTAGTAGTAGTAGTAGTGTAGTAGTAGTAGTAGTGTAGTAGTAGTAGTGTAGTAGTAGTAGTGTAGTAGTAGTAGTGTAGTAGTAGTAGTGTTGTAGTAGTAGTGTTGTAGTAGTAGTGTAGTAGTAGTAGTGTAGTAGTAGTAGTGTAGTAGTAGTGTAGTAGTAGTAGGATAGTAGTAGTAGTAGTAGTAGTAGTAGTATAGTAGTAGTAGTAGTAGTAGTAGTAGTAGTAGTAGTAGTAGTAGTAGTAGTAGTAGTAGTAGTGTAGCAGTAGTGTAGCAGTGGCAGCCGGTGGGTTGCGAATCACGAGGGGCGGCATGTCTGTCCGAACTAACACCTACATTTTACCTCTTCAAAAATATTTCTTGAGCGAGGAAAGCTATATGGTATAGTGTACTGACGATTTACACGCATCGGGATTGTAATCCTTGTCCAACACAACTTTTAACGTTGGTAGCGAAAATAAAGACCCTATTCACAATGCAAAGTAAACATAAGCCTAGCGCAAAGACGTAAACATTAACATAAGCGATATACTGAAGTATTCACAAGGCCTAACATAAACGTAAATAAAATAGGTTCTTATTGGCTGTGAGACTTTCTGGTTGGATGAGAGAATCGATTTCAAGATATCGACTCTGTCTATGTCCCATATGGCGTTAGTTCTATCGACTTCGCTCCAATTTCGATTCTCGATTTTGAGTTAGCTTTCTGTGACAGGTTCATTTCTTATGTCTTCTGTAAGCATAAGCACAGAAGCTTGAAGCTTGCAAGCTTTTAAGTTAACGTCTGAATGAGTCCGCTTATGGACGAAGTCCTAACTTTTATGTCAACGCCATGCTTGTTTACGTTTGCAATGTGAATGGGTCTTAAGAGGTTTAAAAATGAAATTCCAACAAACAAATCAGTAATTTTTGAAATCAAATGAGAGGATAGGTATTCTTGGCTTAGTTACTAGGCGGGGACTCTGCCGAAGAAAACCCTGCGGCAGCACGCTGCCCTCCCAGTACCCCACTCTTCCTCAAGCTTCCATCGTCTCGCATGTACAAGCTACGGACGGAGTCGCGGTAGTCCACATTTCTACGTATTCTCAACAACAACAACAAAAAAAACAACTAAATTCGTTCTCAAAAAGTGCGCTGGTTAAATTAATGCACAAATTAAACGAGTCGATTCATTGCAAGTTTAATACTTTTGCAACTTTTCCTGAAGTTGGTTTTTCTGGGGAGGGCACCGCCCTAGAGCCCCTAAGGAGCGGCTGCCAATGTAGTACATGTCAGTGTGTGTATATGTGTGTGAGTGTGTGTATATGTGTGTGAGTGTGTGTATATGTGTGTGAGTCTGTGTATATGTGTGTGAGTCTGTGTATATGTGTGTGAGTCTGTGTAT